GGCTGATGTTAGCATTTAGCTCAAAGAAGCACTGCGCCTAAGTACAGCCTCACATAGCTGCTAACATGTCTGTAAACTCTTAATGTGGATTTCTGTAACTGATCCTTTCTCTATAGTATTAACATCCTTTCCTCTGTGCACTTTATTTGTGCACATTTTAGCCAGCTTTCTGCTGTGTTTAACTATTGCTTTATAAAACTACTTATAATATTTTTCACAGAAAACCTTGAGTATAAGGACTAAACATGCCCACACTTGAGTTTTACAGTTCATTTTTGACCTTATAAAATCTCACAACAAGGTCTCTTTAGTGGCTGGTCTGGAGTTTTTGATCAATATCAGATGATGTTCATCAGCCCATAAGTTTCCCAGTTGTCATGGAAACGTAAATGTTATCATTTCCAGGTTTTCACAGTACTTTAAGGACTTCTCGTCAATACTTATGCTGTCCTGTTTACTCATTCCCTGATTACTCTGCTTCTCTACACTTCTGCATTGTCATATTTTAAATGTAGCAATTCAGACATTATTCTTCAAACTTACATTAGGCAGAGTTTTTAATCTAAAAGTATACACCAATCTCAGCCTAACTTACAAACTGAGGCAAACTGCGACAAAGAAACTGTCCCATCATGCTGAGCTAAAATGTTTTATTTGCCCTGTTTACACAAAATATTATCATTCTAATTTTGCTGTTGGGTGTAAATTTACTTTGTGCAGCCATAGAGAAAAGTCACAATTTACAACAAGAATGACAATGAAAGAAAATGTCCTCTAAACTGCACTGTAGTCACTCTGATACTGCAGCTGTATCTCCAGTGAAAATATAACCAACACCAGCAATAATTAAAGAAACATAATGTCTGGATACTGACATACTTGAAAACTACACAGTAACCCCGCTGCTCTCATTTGTTCTCACCTATGTAAGAACTTTCTGGTGCGACAACTTTTCAAGAAGTGAATGCAAAAGTTTGCCACCTATATACATAGACATGAACATCACACTGACCTACTACTGCAAAGAGAAATGACGTGAAAGTAGAAAAGATAAAAAGATCAAGGACTTTTTCCTCTTCCACTTTGCACTCGGTTTAACCTGTTGCTGAACAAACATCGTTCTGCTCCTTTCGGGCGCCTCTCAGAGTGCTCTTCACCATCGCTCTGATTTAATAACTGCAGACTCAAAGAGTGCAGAGACATGCCGAAATTTTAGCACTGCACTCAAATGCTTATTGTGCTCCACTTGCTTGTTTCCCACATAAAATGGGAGCTAAAATGAGAGATGAGAGATGCTACATTGATGGAAAACAGAAGGATGCAGACAGCACAGACTGGTGACGAGTCCCACTACTGTTTACCTAAAGTGCTTTGGCTGCAAATGAAATAAAGCACGACAGCTTTGTTTGAAAGAAAAAAAATACATACAGGTGATGTGATATCAACTGAAAAACTAGAATTACTACCTTGTGGTTGTTTGTCTCTACCAACCAGCCAAGTAGCAGGAAATATGGTCACTATCTCTCTTTCCTGAGTTACAGCATTGAATAATGGCAGGTGTTTTTGCTGAACATTATGATGTCACAGTTGACCTTTGACTATTTGGATATAAAATGTCATCACTTCATCATTTTATTCTATTAGACATTTGTGTGAAATTTTGTCATAATAAGTACATGAATTCATGAGTTATGGCTGGAAATGAGATTTGTGAGGTCACAGTGACCTTGACCTTTGACCTTTAACCACCAAATTCTGATCAGTTAATCCAATTGACTCCAACTGAATATTTGCACCAAATTTGAAAAAAATCCCTCGAGGCATTACTGAGATTAAGCAGTAGTAGTTTGCCAGAATGGGACTTACGTACGGACAGACAGACAACCTGAAAACATAACGTCTACGGCCCTGACTGTCACAGATGCAGAGGCATAATAATTCAGATGAAAATTTAGTACAAAGTAAAACAGCAATAAACAAGAGAGAAACAACCAAATCTAAGTTAAGTGAGAAAAAGACACTTAAAAAAAACTTGATGTAAAATGCTTTTCTCACATTCTCAGAAAGGAGATAAAAAATAGTTCAATAACTCCATAATTCTTTGCATCTCTCCCATTCAGACACAGTGGGTGAGCAGAATGTAATTGGTTGCTTACTCTGAAATGTCAGGTTTTGAGTACTGATTCAATCTAAAACAAAACTCTCTGATGTGTATGATTAAAAAAATAAAAAAGATGTTAGTCTCTGATAGAAGAAGAAATGGGACTTGAATGTCATCGCAGTTTCATAGGCTGGGACGTGTTTGAAGGGCTTTTCACCACTGCAAACATTTTGTAGCTCTGCTGCTGAAGGGAAACATGTGGTGGGTGCTGAGTGACTAAACAGACTACTTTGATCCAAGCTGCCTGACGAATCATATATTGCAAAAGGCCTGTCCAACTCTCAAACTTCAGATGACTTTTCAAAAAAAGGTCAGTGTGTAGCAGGAGTTGAACTAATTATTCGAAATTGAAGATGTGAAAGTCTGTGTGCCAAGTTCACAGCTGCTAGGAAGAATTCTCAGCTTACATAATAAAAAATGTTTCTCCACCCCCATGTGCTGGCGGCTATTTTTATTTAATTTTAAATTACTATTCTGAGCTTTTCTGAATTTAGCAAACACAAAAGCATGAGGATTGTGTCTGGGATTGAAGCTCCGTGAGGCAACATGCTTTCACAAAGATGCAGCAGGCATCAGTGGAACCAAAGCTTACACTTTCCAGCCCTCCTCCATCTTAGCTGCATTCATACAGGAACTGAAAGAAAAAACACTTGTTGGCAAACGATGGTTTGATTCAAAGTCCTCATCACTTAGGTTGATTTCCTGGGGGCCCTCTATGAAAATATCAATTGGTATCCAAGTGTGCTTGATAAAATATCATCAGGTCAGCGAGCATATAGACAGAAATAACAGACAGACACATCCAATCCACTTATTATTTCTATCCGTGAGCAGTTTGGTCAGCAACACAGTGAGGAGGAGGCTGGGTATCCAGGCAACAGGCCATCTGTTTTCTCCCACCACTCAAACTTATATCCATCTTGTCCATTTTTCATACCATGAAACGTGTTGTTTTTTAAATTTTTGTCCATCATGATAAGTGAGGAGGAGTGTCATGGCTGCCCTGCAGCTCCCTGGGCAGAGCAGTGTGCTAATAGAACCCCAGAGACAGACCTGATGGCCTCTGGATGATGGACAATAAGAGAAGCCACAGATGGATAGAGAAAATGTAATTGGTGGAGGGAGATGGGGGAAGAGAGTGTGCAGAGCGTGCCCCTCATGCCTGCACAGTGAAAGAGACCTGGCTCAGTTAAGGAGACAGTGTGCTCCCCGCTGAGGCTGACTCAGCTCATCTGGGCTAATTAAACCACACAGGGATAAACAAGGGCACTGGAAACTGGAGCCTGCTGGGAGAGCCTGCTCCACATGCTGTCAGGGTGGTGGCTGGAGAACAGCCTGTTCAAACAGAAATGAAACCAAGAGGTGTTCAGGACAGAGGGCTGTGGGACCTGCTGTCCACAGAAGAACACACGTGGGAGTGATAGGACGCGGGCTTTTTGATGATGGATCTTCTTTAAATTTGAGCCCAGAGTAAATAATGTCCATCTGCTGGGCAGCTCATAGCTTGGCTAGATGCTCTGGGAACTCCCCTGTCTGCCTTCCACTCGGTTCAGACGTGAGTCGGCCATTCAATGAGCTTCACTGTGGAACCACTCAGGCAGCCGCCTTCCCTAAAACACTCAATTGGAACCACAAACAATATCTCTAATACACATCAATATGGGGGATATTTTAGAGTTACGCTACTCTATAACAAAGATCATCAAAGAGGCTTCAGTGCTCGACCTGAAAGGGTTTTGAATATGCATTATGGTCACTGAAACGTCTGTGTTCTCTAAGAATCTCCAAAAATCACAGCCACTCAGAACTGGTTGTGCAGATATTGACAATTTTTTGAGTAGTTTGTTTAGAATCATATTCAGAGTGAATACAACAGTAGAATATACTTGAAGTCCACAGTCATTGTAATAAGATGTACCTGAAGTGGACCGTAAAAGGTCCCAGTGCTCTAAAAATAAGCATTTTGTTGTGGGCAAATACTTGAGCATTAGACTCGGTACACTGTGATACTTTACAAAAGATACTACTGGTGGGAGCAGTCATAAAAACACAACACTGCTTTGTAATAGCAGCTGTTACACAGTATTAACAATAGTGTTTCACTGATGATCATCTCACATATCGTGAAGCGCTACACTCAATTTTCTACAGCTTTATTTATTTAAAATTTTAATACGTTTTTCTGGGTGTGAAACTGTCCCCAAAGTGATATCATCAGGGGGGCACTCAATCATTTTTGTGTTAATTATGGCAAAATTAAATAATCTGAATGAAAAATACTCATGGCTCAAAGGCTCAGTGTGGGACACAACTAGGGAAATAAAGTTTTAAATACTTTATTTGATTTTCATCGTCTCAGACTCACTTTGCACTAGATATTTCTTCCCTTTTTCTTAGGATCTATATTTCCTCCACATGCTAATGCACTTAAAATAGGAGGAGGGCAAAAAGAAAGAAGAAGGCGGAAGTGTGTGAAACCACTGTAGTAAATAAGGTGTTGCAGCCGGTGCAATAGTATCTTTCATGTGATATTACATAATAACATAGTATTTGTAGGAATGAGAAAAGGAGGCTCATTGGATTTAAACATTATGCAGCTCTGTATGGATCTACTCGGCATACTGTATACAATCCACCACCATCAAGTAGTCAAAAAAAGTCCCTCTTTGTAGCAGAATATTATTGGTACAGGGATCATAAACTGTAGAGAAAGAATACATGTAGTGAAGACTATGTTACACTACTACTAGTGAATGGCTTCATAGGAATAAAAAAATGTTTTAATCACGTTTGATCTGTTTAAAGTCAGTCACACAGGTGAGCATGTTGTCAGGCCTACCTGTGTCCCCCCACACTGGCAGGTACTCGTCCTGCTGGATGTCCAGCATTATCTCCAGGCCATTTCCTGTCCCTCCCTTCATGGTGGTGCGGAGCGTCTTCCCCTCCTCTGCGGCGTTGAACACGTAGCACTTGCCATACCTGGTGAACACCTGAGAAGAAAGGACAAAATTGTAAAGGTAACATTGCACTAGATACACTTGATAACTGCACAATGATCGGACTATAGTTTCATGTGTCCATGTCTTAACCCTTTCTAAATTATACATCAGTGTTTGTCTCTTTTGTATTTTGCTTTTGAACCTAAGCAGTTTTCACTTTGTTTTATTATATGTGATGGTTTTCAAAATGCAGCATAACATACTCATGATGCGTCAGATTCTAGTCTAGTCTAATCTAGTTTATCTGGTTTTTATTGAAACCATGATACAATGACCTGAATTATTTCTGATACTCTAAACATGATAATTGATGGAAAGGTGCGAGGCCTTTTCCCATCATTTCTAAGCAGATTCCTGGATATTTGTGCTCAGTGGACAGAGAATACAGATATCACTAGAAAAAGTCTGTTGCACTGATTGGTGTAGAATGGGGGTTATGTCTGTGTGCCCAGGTTTGACTGAGTGCTGGCTCTGAAAATAACTTTTGACCCAAATTACTTCAATTGGGTTGAAAGGGTTAAAGTCATTTTCGTGTGATCACACTGGCAGTGATGGGAGTTTTTTTTCTTTTATTTCACAATGCGCACACACACACACACACACACACACACACACACAGAGACCCTGATGGGCTGCAGGTGTTTCTGTGAAGTGTGTCTTAAGTCTGGCGATAAATGCAGGCTGCCAGAGAGCCACTCTCTTTCATTCACACATTATCTTACTTTCTTTCTGCAGGAGCCTTCAGCTTCTTAATTGTGCACAGCTCTTATTTGGTAAAGCCAAGCAAGAGTAAAGCCCACAGAAAAGACCAAGTCAAAAAACAGGCAATTTCCCATTTAATCTCTCAAAAGCAGAGAGCACCTTGCCATTACTCCTACACTTTCTCAAAACTGCAAACATTTTCTATTCCCTCCGTGCTGTGTTTGTGTTAACAATATATGACACACTCCTATTAGTGGTGCTGCATCTTCCTCCACTAATGTCTCTGTCCCACCATCATCTCTCCAAGACTCCAAGAGTGCAGCTTATTTGAGATGTACAGACAGGTGACAAAGGAAAAACCAACACAAAGTATCTCAGGAAGATGTTAAGCTACCACGTGCCTCCAGAACAGCATCAATGCTCCACATTGAATCGCCAAGTCTACTGGAGGGATGAACACAAATCTTCCAAAAGACATTCCCTCATTTGGTGTTTTGATGATGGTGGTGGAGAGCGCTGTCCAACACGTCAGTCCAAAATCTCCCATAGATGTTCAATTGGGTTGAGATCTGGTGACTGTGAAGGCCTTAGCATATGATTTACATCATTTTCACACTCATCAAACCATTCAGTTAGCACTGGTGCCCTATGGATGGGGGCATTGTCATAATAAAGGAGACCACGTCCATCAGGTGATCACTCAGAACAACTCTGTATTGATTTGCAGTGACTCCTCCCTCTAAGGGGACAAGTGGACCCAAACCATGCCAGCAAAATGCCCCCCACAGCATAACAAAGCCACCGGATCCCCTCACTGTAGGCCATATCACTTTTTCCACATCCCTGTAGACCAGTATCTGTGGTTTATTTACCACTGCACTCTCCAACATGCATTCATCATGAGTGGTATATGCACTGAGATCGTACTATCATATCCCTCTCTGTTGACGGACTGTTCTTGACAGTCTGATTACATCCTGTGTTGACATTCTCAGTCATCCGAGGAAGATATCTCACTCGTGCACGAGCATCATGGTCATCAAGTGTGCGCTGCTGAACACAATTTTTGAACCTTTTTTCTGGTGTCTTTCCCATAGATCTAAATACAGATGCTGAAATGTGTTGAAACACCAGCCAGCTGAGCGGCCTTTGTGACTGAAGCTCCTGCCATCCAACAGTGAGCCCTCTTTCAAAGTCACTTAGGTCTTTTCCTTGGCTGGGTCTGCTCAGCATTTTCATACCTTCTACAGAGCACGATCATGTGGAAGCATCTCCACGTTACGTTTCTCCACTTATTTATTCAGGTTTTTCCTTTAATTTTTCACCAGTGTGTGTAGATGAGACTGTCGTTGTGACTACCTTCCACTTCAATGATGTAATGACTGATTGATAGGAAGTGACTGATGGAAACAGTTTAATAAACCAAGAGCAGCAATGCTCTCTGGACCCCTATCAGCAACATCAATATGATGTTCTAATATGATTTATAGAATTCATTCTATGACATGTTGTGACCGTGTGATTACTGCGTCACACTGTTGACTGTTAGCGGAAATATACACTAACATTGTGATGCGGTGCTGAAATCTAATCACTTACTCCTGGTAATAATATGATTTACTGTACACCCAGTTGCCAATTCATTAGATACACCTAGCCAAAATGAAACCAGACTAAAACAACAGTCTTGCAATAAATCGTACCCTCATGAAGCTCATAATGTTGATTAAATATTATAATAATTTTGGAGGCTGTAATTAGTGGTGTTATTGGGTTGTCTTGCATTGTACTAAGAAGTGTTTGCAATATTTTATATATACTAAATATTACACCTCTTATTATAACCCAATACAGTACAACAGCACTACAAAATGTAGCCTCTAAAATAAACATACCGTTTAATTAACAAACAGTTTCGATAAAAACTGATCATCATAACCTTAATGAAGGTCAGATTTATTGTAGGACTGCTGTATTAGATTGCATTAGTGTTAGCTACGTGTACCTAGTAAACTGCCAACTGAGTGTAAATCCTTATATTATTCATGAATGAGGACAAATGCATTTAATGCAAATGTAATTTGATGTAGAATGCTTTGCAATCACAATGTGAATAGATAGATCACATCTGGAAGCGGTCAGCTCACTTGGTAACTGGATCTCAGTCAGGTGAAAATTACATCAGGACAGTTAGATTACTTTCTTAAGAAAGAAATGTGCCAACAAGGTGACAGGTTCACCTCTGCCTTTTCCTGCTATCTCAAGCTGCCAGTGGAAAAGCTGCAGATGACCCCATCCTCTACAAAGGAAGAATAAGAAGAGCCCATACAGCAGCTTTGCTTTGGAAGACTCTTGAGGAACAGCTATGAGCTCAGCTACGACTAGCACTCACAAGTGTCTCCAAGCTTCTTACATTGAGTAACATTTACCAAGTTAGCAAGGGTACCTGTAGGTAGCCTTTTGCCATCTACGTCAGTGTTTGTTAACCATCAGCCCAGCTTAATCAATCTGCACATAGAGGTTTGATCACAATGTGGGCAGAATCAACATAATGATAATGCAGAGCAAAGGCATGTGATCATATGTGATTGCCCAGATAACACCCAGATGCAGCCAGCGCTTCAATGTAATTACTACTTTCTGAATTATAAACGACATTCGTGTCACCAAGTCACAATTATGACTTGGGTTTGTCCCACTAAACAATACAGCAGTGCACGGAAAAGCAAACAATGGATGTCTCGTATCTGTTATTTGAGGTTTTTAAATGCAAATTCAATAGATATGGTGCAATGTCCAGCTCAACAAAACCAACTTTACAACCATACAACATTCCTGAGTTGACCGATGATGAGAACGCTCTCAACTCAAAAAAATGTGGATACTTGTCTTCTTCGGTGTTGTCAACATTAGGCTTCTGGGGCTTTAGGCGGGAATGTTTTCAGACTAGCTCCTAATCTTTCTGACAGAGGACAAAATCTACAGCTAATCATCACAAAATATAAGTAATTCCTGATCACCTCCAACCCCTGCTGCTGCCATTGTGTGGATCTAGAGAAAGTGAAGTGCGGTGCTGGGTAATGTCCTCTTGTATACAAACTCAGTCAGTCCTCTGCAGCCTTCTTTTTGGCATGGAGCGCGCACGCTCCACTGGCACAGCATGCAATCAATGTTGCTTCTGCTCAGCTGTCAGGCTCACACAGCAGCGGTAACAACAAAAGGTAACGTACAAACAAATGTCCCTCTAGTGACAGTGCCCCTCAATTTGAGAACCACTGGTTTATTGACTAATGTTAGAGGAGCAAACCCTGACTGCTGTGGTCTCTGCTGCTGGTGCGTTCTGACATTTTGTCTCCTGCAACATCTAGAGCCATCCTGAATGTTAGCAGTAACACCTGTGTCCTTCCCACTGTGACAGGTTGAATTGTCTGCTGTTGAAATGTCTGCTGTGGAAATGTCTGCTGTGGAAAAGGCCTGTGGTATCCATCACATGGACTTTCTGTAACAGTCCCACAATATGATCCATCATTATTTAAACATGCACAGATGTTTTGTAGATTTACAGATGTGCAACATTATGCCTGTCTGTGATTATGCAAATTAACGATACGTGTCTGAAATCACAATTTACTGTTAATTTAAACTATTGTCTGACACATCTTGTGTTTATAAGCTTGTAAGCTTTATATAAGAAACGAAAGATCTTTGACCACTGTCTGTTTTTACAGCATGTTCATTCCTGTAAATGAAACTTCAACGGTTTTCACTCATGGATTGTAACAGCTGTAATAGCACTGGCATCAGTAAATATGAATGTGAAAGAAGACATGAAATCCAAAGGTTGTGATGTTAAAGTGTGTTTGTGTGTCTTCACCAACTACACGCTGTCACTGCATTGTTCTCATAAATTCAGATATAGTGGAAAAACAGTGTTTGGCTCTGGGTTCAAGCAGCTGCTTACTCTCACATCCAGACAAAAGGAACAAAGCAGCAGACAGTGTTTTGCTCCTCATCTCGGGGGTGTGCCACATAGCTGTCATAATTCACCCGTAGTCTGAAGGGCCTGACTGTTATATAACTTATTCTAAATATTAAAAGTCTTTGTGTCTCAGTTTTATCATTTATTTACCATGATGAACTCTACAAATTTAAGTTGAAACTCAAGAGTTAAACTCTTGATTTAAATGTCAGGAGGATGTAGTGGGCCAATAAATGCAGTACTTACAGCGTAAGATAATAAACCAAATAATAGTTCTGAAATTCACCACAGTACTGTATGGATGATTTTG